CATACCTGTGTTCCCCAGTACCCATTATCCCTTTTATCTATGTTCCCTGGTACCTATGTTTCCTGGTATGTTCCCCAGTACATGTGTTTCATAGTACATATGCTCTCCTGTACATATGTTTCCCGGTACATACCTGGTAGCTACGTTACCCGCACTTATGTTTCATGGTAGATATGTTCCTTGGTACATACCTTCCCTGCCAGCTATGTTTCCCTGTACCCAAGTTGCCCGGTACATATGTGTTCCGGTACTTACGTTCCCCAGTACGTATGTTTCCAGGTACATCAGTCCAGTGTTATAGAAAGTACCTCAAAGTGATGAGTAAAAGTACAAGTATCTTATCATGAAATTACTTTGGTACAAGTTAAAGTCTCCTCTAAGAGTATTACTGTGTAAAAGTCTTAAAGTATCAGATTTTTTGTACTTAAGTATCAAAAGTAAATTTCTGACATAAAATGTACTTAAGTATTAAAAGTAAAAGTACAGAGTAAAAATGAGCTGTAAGGTTTTCCAAAATAACATTTACTGGGAGGTCAACTTTCCGAAAAAATATTTTTTTCTAAAGGCATTCAGCTGTGATGGATTGTGTACAATTTGGTGTCAGAATGGTATATATACACACTTCTCATCCAACTACAATTAAATTTACTCTTTCCAGGAGCTACAATTTATCAGAAAAATATTTTTTAACAATAACGAGCCAAAACGAAATAGGAGTAACGACTTTCTGCTTGCCTTTTTTAAAAATGTAAGAAGTAGAAAGTACAGATAATTGTGTGAAAATGTAAGGAGTAGAAGTAAAAAGTACGCTGAAAAATAATTACTCAAGTAAAGTACAGATACCCAAAATTTCTGCTTAAGTAAAATAACAAAGTATTTGTACTTATTTACTTAACAGTCCTGCATCAGTCCCATGTAGCTACATTTGTCAGTTCTTACAGTATGTTCCCAGGTAGCTGCGTTCCTCTGTATGTTTCCTGATACATGTTTTCTGACACGTATGTTATCTGGTACATATGTTCCCCAGTACTTATGTGACATGGTACTAAATGAAATATACTTTTACAGATTTAATGGCACCACACATCTACTTTATACTTTTATACTGAGAGATTTAGAAACTTTTATACTGAAATGCTTTTGAAACTCATGTTGAAATGTTTTAATATCAATGTGTAATCAGTGTACTGCTGAGATCAAGCATTGTGAGTCACTACTGGTTAAGTTGTAGTTTTTAGTATGCATTTAGTTACTCGTGTCTCACATTGGAGAACACACACACACACACACACACAGGATTTGTATTACAGCTGGTGAGGAACATGAGACTCAAGTCAAGCTATAGATAAGGGCATGTTGACACATGGGCATGACTTGAGTTTGAAGTGGATGCAAGATCCTGAGTTCAATTTGATCTTGTCCTGAAGTCAGAATACTGTGGTCCCACGTGGTATGTGTTACTTCACGTGTGCAAAGTAAATGTTCTTAACTGTGAGCTGGAGCAGCCTTATGCGTTTAATTTGGGTTTTCAAAGTGAACTTTCTTATATTATGTTCCCCAATACCAATGTTTCCCAGTGCATTTGTTCCCTGGTAGCTATGTTTCTCAGTACTTTTGTTGCTCGGTACATATTTTCTCCAGTACTTATGTTTCCCGATAATGTTTTACAGTACCTATGTTTCCCTGTACATATGCTCTCTCTGGTTAATAATGAAAATCATGGAAGATACTTAGCCCCCTCTGTTAAAACAAATGTTTTAAGACAAATGAAAAATACTGAATTACAGTGCAGGCATTGAACCGGGCAACATCAGGATGACCTTGTATGATGTTTCAGGCTGAAAAAACCGGAGCATCCAGAGTAGGGCTGCCACAAACTATTATTTTTATAATCAATTAATCACTGATTATTTTTTCTATTAGTCGACTAATCAGATCATACGTTAATTGAATATAAAACAAACAGCTTATCGCGCCAGAATGCAGCTGCTATCATAACCATGGTTAGATTTTAGCTATATGCTAACTAAAAACAATTGCTGTGGAAGTTCTGCCTAGCAGATATTACACAGGTTTCTCTGTCATTTTCTTAAAACAATCCCACACTTTGAGCTCCGTTGTCAGGTAGCCATGATACCAGTCTGTCTGTATAATGTCTTGTGACGTCCACGGCCTACCCCAGTTACCACTACTGTGACTGTGTGTCAAGGACAGAAAGGCAGATGTGGCAGTGGAAGGCGTCAAAGCAGTTTGGAGAGAAAAACAAAGTAAAGAAAAAAACGATTAATCGATTATCAAATTAGTCATCGATTATTTTAATAATCGATTAGTCGTCGACTAATCGACTAATCGTGGCAGCCCTAATCCAGAGAAACACTGAAAGGCCTCAACAAAGATTCAAACCAGAGACTCTCTTTGTTGTCCCTTGTAAAATTTATTGTTTGAGGGTTGTTGTTTTTTTACCTTCATCATCATTTCCTCTAAGATTTTTCCATTAAAATTGACAAAATATTGCCCAAATTTCCAAACAACATTAAAGAAATTCATGCTGAGTGATTTCAGGCATGGTTTTTTCAAAGACAACATTGAAGTGGTAGACTAATAAGCCTTGACATCTTCAAAGAAAAAGAAAAAAATCAGGGTAGGGATGTGTGTCTGTGTGTAAATTTGTGTGTGCGTGCTTGTGATGAATGCAGACATATGACGTGAACATGGATATATGGAGGAATGGGGGAGGATTACTAAAAGGAAAGAAAATTGAGGAGTTAATCTTGCAGGATATATTGTCTCCATTTAAAAAAATGCCTCCTTTTTTAAAAACATGAATACTTGAGTCCAATTAGGAGCACAAAGACTGCTGCAATAAAGTGCGGAGGAGAAACCAATGTGGTTCGGCCACAAAATCTTTCCTTTAAACATGAGTGGGAGCGCTGAATCCCCACTGCTAAAAATACACACCGTTCTGTAGCAGGGAATATTACAGAAAACCACAGCAGAGGATTCACAAAAAAAGGTTTTATTTACAAAAACAAAAATAGTCAAAGTAAAGAGGTGACATGGAAGCAAACTAGTTATCTCATGGAAACTTATTTACAACATGAACCATTCAGTTTCACAGCATTTCTTTCTCTGTCCTCTGTTAAAGCCTTCATAAACAAAACTATTTTTTTTACTGATCATTCTTATCACAAACCATRAAGACTAACTTTTTATATCGGGTATGTGAATTAAGTTTAAAGGAGCTAGAACCCAATATGCAGCCACTCTACTCTGCCTGACGTGTGCCTACAGTGACAGTTAAATAAACTGTGTAGTGAGCTGGCATGCAAAAATGTAAATTAGCACTGCGATAAAATATGTTGCAGCCTAGGAGTGCAGTGAAAATACACAATTTATATGTAAATGACACAGTAGAAACAGAATAAAAACTGTAATAAGACTCTAACAAGAATAACTATTGTGTAGCTTGTCAAAGTTTTTTTTTTTTATAAACTCATCCGCTGCAGGCACCAAACCCTGACTCATGGTACGCCTCCAAAAATTGGCCAATTTAAAAAAGATGGTCTTTATGGAAGTAAAAGAACCACAGCAATTCAGAAAATGCTTATTTTGAGTTACCAGACACTCAGAAAGTAGAGATGGGATTTATTTCTCTTTGAAGGGAGCTGGATCTTAAAGCTCTGTTCATTTCAAAGAGCCATTCAAAAGATTCRGATCACTCATAAACGGCCCATCTCTACCAAAAAGGAAGAGAACCAACAACATCTACAGCCTTAAAATGGCGTAACAGGGAACATGAGAGTTCAGATATTTTGAAGTGAGGTTGAAAAGCTTAAATAAAAAAATCAAGTCAGTTTACAATGAACCATATTGAAGTGGATTTCTGTGTAAAATTTATCAACAATTAAATCTTACCCAATATCTGTCTGTGAACCTCGGTTTGTTCAAAAACAAATTAATTCTGACAGGAGTGATGAGTCAGCGGCTAGTCAAAACAAAGCTTGGACCAAAGTAGATTAGTGCCAACTTAAAACAAATCTCATCTCAAACACTTGATTGCATTTCACGCCTTTCAGAAACTTTACACGGCTGTCMGTTTCACTTTACATGCTTATTTGCACAGAACAGACCATTTCATAGTTTTTTTGCGAGCATGGCATTGTGGGTAGGGGTCAGAGGTTATTCAGTATGAACTAACCCACGTTGCTATTAAATTTGATGGATGTGACTGTTTTTTTCCTGTTTGTCTGATGTTTTTTTATCTGATTTTTTTTGTGAATCACGGCAGAGAAAACCCTGGATGAGATGAAATGTTGGCGTTGATGCACGGTATGACTTTTTACCAGCAAGGGGTCAATAATAGAAAGTGCGATTTAAAATTTAAATTTGTAAAAATATAATTTCGTAGCTTGTGACAACTTTATTTTTTTAACATGATTTTCAGAATTTTATGCATTTACCAATAAAATACAATTACTATTTTAATTGTTGTTTAGTCTTTCTGTTTATTTTGAATTTTATTCTTATCTGCTCTTACCCACGTAGATGAACTGAACAAGCCCTGAGATATTCAAAATATTTGATTATTTTAGCTCCTATGTGTATCCACTCCCTACTTTACTAAATGACCAAGCAGATGGGGCTTCTGTCCATGTACTTAGTATCTACAAAACAATTAATACTCTCAACCGTGGCAACAAAAACACTATAAAACGCTACCAAACTAAGCCCAAAAAACAGATATTTATGGAAAATCTCATCTRTGATCTTAAAGCAAGGTCTAACACAAATCAGTTTAGAGCGATTACATCATGTCTGTACAATATCATAAATTAACCAAATGAATTTGTTTATTTTCAATGACATTTCCATTGACCTGTGACCCGTCCACTTTGCGCATTTGTAACTACAAAAAAATGGTCTGTTCTGCGATCATTTAGCATAAAAAGCACCAACAGTAGCAACATGTAAAACTTTGAAGACGTGGGTCCACTCTGGGATGTTTTAACACCATTTACTGAAATACTGCGTAAAATTGATGATGATGTCAAGTTTTGTACAAGTCTTGTACAATAGTAGGTATTAGATGTTAGGTTAGCCGTAATAAAACCAAAAATAAATCTTTTTAAAGCAAACAATGGTAAATTTAAAGTTTTATATTTTGCTTACAATACCTTGCACCTCATCATTKAAACTATACAATCATTTGACCGTAGAAAAAGGGAATAAATTCACATCCAAGTTACTTAAAATGCTCCCCTCTCTCTGCCAGCTCATGACTAGATGCACATTCAGCAAAATGTTCAACTTATATACAAAARTGTATATAATAAAAGAGAGTTTGAAGTAAATTCATGTACACAAATTGCATTGTTAAAGTTATAAAATCAGTACAAAGTTGTTGATTTGGTAAATTTCATACAAAGACACAGCATTGTTTATATAGGCTAATCGACTGGAGTATATTTGTATAGACGCTCTCAGCTGTGGAAGTGGAAGGTGCACAGCTTTAACTGTCAGTTTTATATATATATATAAAAAGAGTGTAGGCACATTATACAAAGGCTAAAATCCAAGGAAATGTCTTTTTCTGTGAAGCTCTTTAATCTACATGGCAGCTCCCATCACATCTGTTCTCTCGGCAGAAATTCATCAAGGCACTGTGGGTCTTGGTTTAAATCCAAAACTACATTCCGAAGCGGCCCGGCAGTCCAGAGACAAACTCCACAACAACTCCCACAAATATCAGGTTTGTTTTTCAAATGAACATATGTGGGGAATGTTAGGGGGGAAAAAAGCTGCAGCATTTTGTGATTCCTTATGACAGTTTTGCCACGTAGGTCAAGAAAAAAACCTCTTCTGATGTACTTCTGATAAGTTTATGAATACGTTCCAAAGAAGATCAGATGAGCAGCGCTTCAGTTGACTTTGAAGATGCTGAAGACGTGATTGGCTACAGGATGGAGACTGAAGGACGAGCCCGTAACGGCTTTCAGCTCTGTGTTTTTCTCCAGCCGCAGGAGGCCGGACACCTGGCACGGTTTCACAAAGTGGAACGAGTGCGGCCCCGCCGAGGGGGTGGTCCCGTAGCCCTCCATGCACTGCAGCGTCTGGGGCCGAGGGCCATTGGTCACCACGTCCAGTTTCACGTACTGCGACTGCTGCTCGTTGAACAACACCTGAAAGGGCAGACAAAGAGTGTGCGTTTCTCATCAGGAGAAATCAGCTGAGACACAACGAGAAATGGTTTTTATTTAGTCAAATGAAAACTAATCGTGCTGCACGAGGACTTGAGTGGTCCTCCCTTTATGCATTTTTTAATTTAGACTTTCTCCAGATTTCTGTAAATCTGTACAGCATGACTGAACAAAAATGAGTATGCTTTTCTAAATTCATTAACTTTTGATGCCTTATTTCTAGGGATGTGACTAATATTGATTCGCACAAGATATGACTGGACTGGTAGAACAGGTGTGTTTTGAAAATAAATCTAGATTCATCAATCAACTTTGATATAAAGACTTCATTACAAAGGATGACAATCCCACTATGATGTAGAAGTTATTACCAGAACATGGATGGTCCTTTCATGGTCACAGTGAAGCTGATACACATGTACTGGGAATACGGTGAGATAGGTTGATAAAACCTTTTTAGTCAAGTTGGCAACATGTTGGGGTCTTGGGTGGATCCTGGTAGCAGCATGTCCATGACTTGGGGCCTTTGGGTACACTGGCCATTGCCAGGTCTGGCAATGATGACAGTGTTTTTGATATGCCATGCCACAACTGGCTCAGTTGTGGTTTGGTCTATGTGGCCCAAATCTGTCAATGCTACAACTGGTCCAGTTGTGGTTTGGTCTATATGGCCCAAATTTATCAATATCACAATTGGTCCAGTTGTGGTTTGGTCTATATGGCCCAAATTTACCAATATCACAATTGGTCCAGTTGTGGTTTGGTCTATATTGCCC